AGTCACAATTTCATAAAATACTGACATTATAGGAGAAATGAGGTGGAACGGCACAATGAAAAGGCGAGGACAAATGGGCTCGCATTCATAGTTAAAAAGACCATTTCTGGATCCATCTTGAAATACAGTGTTGTGACAGGACAATATCCACACACAGACAAGAAGACCTGTTAATACCACTATCATTCGAATACATACACCAACCACCAGATCCGAAGAGGAGGAAATAGGTGATCTCTACTAACTATTGCTGCCAAGAAAACAAACAGATTCATCCTGGAGAGGGTTAAACCAGGCTACTCCTTGGAGGCAAGGATTCTGGGGCTTCGTCTGACATACTTTGGGCATGTTGTAAGGAGGGACAGGTCCTTGGAGAGGGACATCATGCTTGGGAGGGTGGAGGGATAGCGCAAGAGGGGAAGACCCTCTATGAGATAGATTGATTCAGTGACTGGGATAATCGGGATGGGCGTGTCAGAGGCAGTGCGATTGGCACAAGATAGAGCAGGGTTTAGGGCTGTTGTCCATAGGGTCGCTATGAGTCGCAAACGACTCGACGGCACATAACAACAACAACAACATTGCGGTCAGAAATCGATAGTACAACCAAGATGCATTGATAATAATGAGTGACTAGATGCAAAAGTTGGGAACAGGGAAGAAGGATCAGTGGTCGGGAAACAAGGACTTGGTGACAGAACTGAGGCTGGAGATAGAATTTTGTACAACCAATTATTTTCTCATTGCAAATTTATAAGAAACACAAATGGTGACTATAAACGTGAACTTGGCCTCATGGAATACACAAGAATCTGATTGATCACGTCTGCGGAAAGAATCATTAGTGAAGCTCAGTGTCAGCTGTGAAAACCAGGCAAGTCACTGGTTGTGGGACAGACCATTAACTACTCATATGAAAGTTCAAGCTGAAATCAAAGAAAATTAAATCTGTAAGAACCAAAATTCGGCCTTGAGTCTATCCCACTTGAATTTTAAAACCATCTCAGGAACAGGCTTGGGGCCTGCAACAGTAATGAATGAAAACTAGATGATATCAAGAATACCATCCATAAAGCATGTAAAAGGTCTTTACACAGATGGAGGAGAAAGAAAAGACTGAGATAGATGTCAGAAGAGACTGGATATTAACCTAGAACATAGAGAAGCTATAAGAAGAAGAAATCAGGGAGTTCAAGAACTGAACAGAAGATTTCAAAAGGTAGCTTATGAAGACAGAGCCAAATATGAAATATGCAAACACTGGAGTTAGAAAATAAAAAAGGACAAACTCAATTGACTTTTTTTTTATTATTTGTGGGAAGGGGGTAGGTAGGCATTTCTTAAGCTCAAGGAACTGAAGAACAAATTCAAGCCCTGAGTTGAACACTTAAGGATGCTATGTGCAGAATACTGAATGATCCAGGAAGCATCAAAAGAAGAGGGAGTACACAGAGCCCCTGCATCCAACAGAACTGGCTGACACACAAGAATTTCATGAAACAACATATGGCCAAGAGGCAATGGTGATGAAAGAGAAAGCTCACAGTGCTCTGAAAGAACTGGCAAAAAACAAGGCCCCAGAAATTGGTGGAATATCAACTGACATATTCAACAAACAGATGAAGCCCTAGTTGTGCTCACCAGACTGTGCCAAGAAATCTGGAGGGCAGATTCCTGGACAACTGACTGGAAAGAGAGCCTTATTTTTTCCCACTTAAAAAAAAAGGGGGGGGCGGGGATCCAACAGTGTGAAAATGATCTCACAATACATTAATATCACATGCAAGCAAAATTTTGCTGAAGATTATCCAAAAACGACTGAAACAGCAGTACATCAATGGAGAACTGCCAGAAGTGCAAGCTGGGTTTAGAAGAGACTGTGGCACTAGAGACATTATCGCCAATATCAGATGGATCATGGCTAAAAGCAGAAAGTACCAGAGGAATGTCTGTGTTCCACGGACTATCCAAAGGCATTTGACTGTGTGGATTGCAAGAACAACAAAAAAATAAAGTTAGATGCACATCCTGTGGTGGCCTAATGGTAAGAGGCTGCACGGCAATCCCAAAGGCACATGGTTTGAATCCACTGGATGCTCCTTGGAAGGATGGGCAGTCTCCTCCTGCGTGATTTACTGTCTCTGAAAACCCACTGGAGGGTCAGCTCCTACTCAACAGCAAACAACAGTAACATGCGTCTGAACGTTGGACAATGAGGCAAATTTAAAGATCGTAGTGCTGGTGATAACTACGGACTATAACACCAACTGCAAAACCAACAAATCTGTTTTGGGAGAAGTAAATCTGAACGCTCCTTAGAGTCAGAGCAACGATGGTGAGACTGATACTTGGGCCACGGTAACAAGAGACCTGTGCCAGGAGGACATCATGTCTAGAAAAGTGGCCAGCAAAGACCCTCAGTGAAATGAACTGACAGTGGAGACTGTGAGGACAGCACAGGACCAGGCAGGGTCACGATGGGTCAAGGGATGACTGGACGGTACCTAACAATTAACATCCCGGGAACAGTGTGAAATTAGCAGAACTGTTGGAAGCACCATACCTCCACAGTGTTTTAAAGCCACCTATCCTGTCACACAGGTGAAGCAGGTTCACTCTGTTTCAGCCCCTTGCACAGAACTGTCATCCTGCATTGCACATGAAGCCCACCAGGGATCTCGAGTACCGAGTCTTCAGTGTATCTGGGGGGGGAGCCCTAGTTCCACATTAGCTCCCCACCACACCCATTCCAGAGGTCTCAGGTGGAGACAGGATGCCTGCTGGCCATGCCCACACATGAGGTCCACATGACACTAGACTCAGCCCAGGTGTGTGACACACTCAGGTGGCTGCTTAGAGGAGGGTTGTGTGTGTGGAGGGTGGAGAGCAGTACTGTGAGCTGGGGTGCTTTGGGGAGACAGATTGGAAGGGGAGGCCTGGTGGCCACAGAGGAGAAAGGTAATTTGGCCCTGAGGGTCATGTGAGCATAAAGATGTGTATGGGGGTGAGGGGACCCAGAATGGGAGGGGTCAGAGGCGCATGGGTCTGAGTGGACGGGGGCAGCCATGGGGAACCAGCCCACCCCCAGCTGTTGGTAGTGAATAGGAATTCCTGTCAATGTTTGGGTGGCCGCATTCCCCACACTACCCACAGTGAGGGTCAACAGGCACTCAGAAAGCAGCAAGAGCTCGCAGGGATCTGGGGGGGGGGCCTGGTGATCCCACCGAAGTGCTGGGGCTGGTCTCTGAGGGAGCACTGCTGGGAGCCCCAGTTGGCCTCCAGGAAAAGCAGGGAGTGCCTGAGCCCTCAAGGGAGGTGGCATTTCTTGGGGAGGGGGACGTGTACCACACAAAGTGACCCAGAGTCAGTCTCTCTCAAATCTGCCTCGCTCTGGCCTCAATTTTCTCATCTGTAAAACGGGCAACTTGTCCTGGTGAGGTGGAGTGTGGCCCCAGTCTCACACCCTCTCCAACGCTCTCCTCCGTACCAGGGACCAGCTGCCCTCTGGAGCTCTGGCCAGGAGCCCCAAAAGCCCCTGGTGACAATAGCTGCTGTGCCCCATCCCATGTGTATGAACTGGCAGGCGAGGACGGAGGGCCGGGGTTACTGCTTCTCTGGTTACCCAGCCTGGCAAGAGTCAGGTTACCCAGTAGTCCACTAATGCCTACCGTATTTTTCTGTATATAACCTGCTTACAGTAACAACGCACACACAGATACAGCATAAACAGGGTGCACTGAAAAAACTGCATAACCCTCTGCACAAAAATGTACTTTGAGTGAGGCCTGCCCTTTACTGGAGGCCACTGGCAGGCTGACTGCTGCCTCCGTCTATCCTGCTCTCCAATCTGTAAACAGCCATGGTAACGGGGTACCATGAGAATGCAGGGAGCACAGAGCCAGGAAGACCCCTCCTGAATTATAGGGTAGACCCTCAAATACAGGGTATTAACGGGCCAGGGGCCAGTGTTCCAGGGAGGACAGTGGCTTCCGACTCTAGCTCTGGCCTCCCCTCCGAATCAGGACTTTGAGGCTCCTTCCTGGGGGCCTGTGTTCCCTCCCCCACATGGTCATGCTCTGGCCAACATGGATTCCTCACCACAGGACTGAGAACAGTGGTCAGAGTTGCTCCCCAGCCCAACCTGTCTTGCTTTCACTGTAGATGCTTATCCTGCCTGGAGGTCCAGTGAGCCCAGGTTAAAGGGTGCCCTCCCCACCCATCCTGGGGTCCAAAGGGTGCGCTCCTTCTCCTGGCTCAGAGGGGTGCTGCCTGGGCCGTAACTCCCCTTATCAGTTACTCGAGCTCTTGGTTCAGGGAAACTTCATTCGTCAACCAAGCAACAGACACCGGAGGATAATAGTGACCATGGCCTTGGCTTCCCCAAGCCCATCCCAGCCCCTGTGTTTGGGGACCTCAGAGCCTGCTCCCAGCACAGGCTCCTGCCTATCACCACACACAGTCACCAGGCCCACTGGGATCAGGGAGCGAGTCTAGGCAGGACGAGAGGTGTTATAGAAGTTTTCTGGGGGACACTGGGGTCAAGATCCTGAACGGCAGTGCCCATCAGGCCCACCAACTCCAGGAACGGACAGGGTGCAGGGAGAGGGTGGCAGGAGGCTAGGGGCCAGGTAAGACCAGCAGACGAGTGGGGCTGCAGGAGGCATAGATTCCACCTTCTTCCTTTGCCCCAGACACTCCATTCCCCTATCTGAGCTCAGCCTTCCAGGAACGGAGCCACCACCTCAGCACCCCTCCAGCCTTCCGAGCACCCTGAAACTGTCTCTGGAGCGCCAGGGCCCACATGTGACCAGACTCCCCATGCCAGGGCGAAGGCCCTAGCGGGCAGCCCCCACGAGTCCCAGGCCCAGCACCCTGGTTGAGAAACATTCCAAGGTCCTTTATTGGGTCCACAGGGTCGTGAGCTGCCCTCAGAGGGGGTTCCAGCCCGGAGTCTTCCTCCCCATGGCCTCCGAGTCCCCATGCCCAGGCAGAGCAGGTGGCTACTTGGAACGCCCCATGGTGTGCTCCTTCACATAGTTCCAGCCCTGCACGGAGTAGTCCTGGGCCTTGGAAGGGGCCACTGACAGCGCTGACATCACCGTAATGATACCTGTGGAGAAGGGGGTGGGGTCAGGGCGAGGGGCCAGCCACCTGCCAACCAGGCCCTTGCCTGCAAGCGATGGAGTCCAACCCCGAGGGGCTCAAAGGCACTGGATACACCATTTCCTCCTCGCAGTTCCAAGCGGAGAAATTGAGGCCAAGATCAGCTGAGCTTATGAGGGCAGCATTGCTCCCAAGGACTGCCAGGTCTTTTCACTGCGTTCCAACTTTTGAGCTTGTAACTGAGCATTTTTTTTTTAAATTTTATTTTATTATTATTTTGTGTGTCTGTGTACCGTCAAATCAGATCTGACTGGTACAGGAGGAGATTGTCCCTCCTTTCCCGGCAGAGCATCTGGTGGATTCAAACCATACACCTCTGGGATTGCAGTGCAGCTTCTTGCCACTAGGCCACCAGAGCTCCCCTTTAACTGAGCATTTTACCATCTGTGACGGCCTGGCGTCAGCGGAGGGTGGTGGCCTTGCTCCATGAAAGATCACATGACAGGGTCAGGCCCCCCTCAATCGCTGGCCTCCATTCAAGGCTCTCTCCTGCCCCAGAGTCTAAATCCCATCTCTCTGAGACTCAAGTAGGCGCAGACACGGCAGGGAAGGCTGTTACATTAGTGAACGGGACCACCTCTGATGCCCAAAAAGAAGGCCCATAAGCCTACCTGAATTCCAGGATTCCCGGAAAGAAAAGTTAAACTTTGGAAGGGCTGGGAGCTGGGAAAAGAAAAGAGTCCGTTGAGAGAGACACTACGCATGCATGCGCGCGCACACATACAACGCCCCCCCGCCCCCCCGGCCCTACCCTGCTCCCTCCAAGTGACCAGAGCCAGAGAGGCCCAGGCAGCTTGGAACGGGGTTCACGAGAGCGCAAGCTTCCCCCAGCCCCGGGTACCTGGGGTATCTGCAGGCCTGTCTCCTTGCTCACGTACTGGCTAAACTGGTACATGGCTGGGGGGACCACCTCCTCAGCCTTCCGAAGCGCCGCCTGGCTCTTGTCGCTGGGGCCCAGCAACTCCTGATCGTATGCCAGGTAGATCGCGCCCCCTGCCACGCCGCCCTTGATGAGAAACCTGCGGGAACAGGTGGGCACCACAGACGCTCAGCACTGCTGGCCACAGACCCTCGGGGGTCCATGCCCACAGCTGGATCCTCCAGAGGGGAACCAGAGCGAGCACCACACCAACCCCTGAGAGACACAACATCGAGTTAACAATGTGTAGGACAAGAGCTGAGGCCCCTAGGTGGACAAGGGGTCACTCAAGGTGCCGTGGAGCCCAGGAGTCTTTTACTCTCGACCTCAGTGTGTGCAGGGGTTGGGGACAGGTGTTCTGAGTGTTCCTTTGCGCCCCTCTCATATCACATAGGGCGCCCATTAAATGCATGTGGCAGGACTTCCTGGGTGTTCTCATGTTACAGAGAAGACAACTAAGGGTCTGGGGGGTCTCGGCTACAGGGAGCCCTCTGGGATCGCTAGGAGGTAGGAGGGTAGCGCTTGCGCAGCTTTGACAAGCTCTACACTCCACTCACCCTCAGTGTCCCTATTTGGTCCCTGAAGGCCTAAACACTATGAAAAGCAGGTAGAAATCAAACTGGGGAGCGGCGTGCGGGTGGGGGAGAAACGCAGCAGGTGGGAACCAAACCGGAGAGCAGGTGGCGAACGCCTGCAGAGCGGGGCTCCCTGGGCCCCGGGACTCGCGCGGTGGCCCCACGCACCTCATCAGCGACCACACCCGGGACACCATGGTCTCCACTCCGCGCGCAAGGACACTGGCCTCGCCCGCCGCTTCCGGTCGGCGCCCGAGAGGCCTCCGGGAGGCGAGGCGTGGTCTCTCCCGTCACCTACAAAGGCCTCCGGGAGTTGGAGGCGGACACACCTTCCCTCGCTCCGAAATGTCACACAAGCGCCGCAGTCTCCCCGCGGTGGGCTTCTGGGAAATGTAGTCAGCAGCGCCCTGTAAAGAGGCCGAGAGGCTCGCGTCCCGGCGAAGGCTTCTGGGAATTGTAGTTCGGCTCGGTTCGGTCCCGGCGGCCAGCGGGAAGAGAGATGTCGGGTGTCCGGAGAAGCCTGAAGGTGACCCAAGGAGATGTCGGGGTCCTTGAGACCTACCCTGCGCCAGCGCAGGGTACTAAGGACCCAGGCCTAGGGTAGAACGCCTGGAAGGTTGTCACATTAGCGAGATGCTGGAAGAATTCGAGGGAGGTGTGTCCGAGGTCACGTGAGCGACTTGGGGCGGAGCTTCCGTTTCGTGGGCGTGGCCTGAACCTAGAGACCTGACAGGAGGTTGTTGCCTGGCAACCCCGAGGCTGGGCCCTCCAGCTGCCAAGAGGGTAGGGGCCAAGAGGCATGGAACCATGGCTTTGCCCCGAGAGGAAACTGAGGCCCTCAGGCGTGGTTAAGGACCCAGTGGGATCTAGGGATGTCTGATGCTCCACCATCCTATTTTTTTTTTTATTATTATTGTTTTGGTTTGCTTACAAAATTGGTATACATTGTTTTTTCACACTCCCCACCCTCCTTTGAGTAGGTTTTTTTCATCCATCCATCCACTCACTCATCCACATGCCTGCCCCTCACCCATGTAGGACTCCTACGATCAGGGTAGCCTGGGGTGGGGGGAAGTGTTAGGGGAGAGCTAAGATGTTCACTGAAGCAAGGAGAGACAGGAGTGCGTTTCCTTTTAAGGGGGCACCTGGATTGGGGGGGAGGAGTACTGTGATGGCCCAGAGGTTGGACAGATGGTCCGAGGCCAGACCTGCTGGGCTCTCTGGTGCGGGGTGGCCTTGTTCCGTCCTAGGACAGTGAGGACCCTGAGAGCCTCAGAACAGGCAGCATGGCCATATATTTTTCTCGCCAGCGAGCGTGTACCAAGTTATGGATCTTCAGTGATGACACACGTGGAGGCAGAACGCAAGGTGCTCAAGGAGAGTGTGAGGAAGGGGCTGCTTTGGGGCCACTACCATCGAGAAGACAAAGATTCTCACCACTGGGCCAACTGTCAGCACCATGATGAATGGAGAAGAGACTGAGGTTATTAACAATTACAGATTGCTAAGCTGCACAATAAACACTCTTGGCACCAGCAGTCAGGAAGTCAAAAGACATATTGCACAACAGACACATGAAGAAATACTCAAATCACTGGCAATAAGAGAGGAGCAAATCAGAACCACAATGAAATACCATCTCACCCCAGTTGTGTTGTGTTTATTGTCTTAAAGTCAAGCACGACTCATATCGACCCTATGAACAAAGGCCTGAAACCCCTCTACAACTATCAACATTTATCAAAGTTCATAGAGTTTCTGAAGGCATGTTGTTTAGGAAGTGGATGCCACTCTTGCTTCCAGTAGCAGTGGCAAAGTTTAGCAAGACAGCAAGTAATAAATATTGGAGAGGATGTGGTAAGATAGGAACCCTTATATATTGTTTGTGGGATTGTAAAATAGTACAATCATTTTGGAAGGCAGTTTGACATTTCCTCAAAAATCTGAACACAGAAATTCCGCATAACCCAGTTATTCACAGCTTGGAATATACCCCAAGAAAATGAGATCTGAGCCACAAATGGAAAATTGTACATCAATGTTCATAGGAGTGTTACTCACCATAGCAAGAACATGGAAACAGCCCAAATGTGCAACCACATCAAATAGATTGAGAAAATATTGTACATTCACATGATGGAATACTATGCAGCATACAGGAGAAATGATTCTGTAAATTACTACCTAACTTGAGAGGGCCTGGAGAGTGAACTAACTCAGTCCCATAAGGACAAATACTGTCTAAAACCATTATAATTTTTTTGGGTTATTTAGGGTTTGTTTGGTTGTATTATTATTATTATTATTATTTTATTATTCATTTTAATGAATTGTTGCATTTTTCTCCCTGCCTACCCCCGCCCCAGTACACTCTTCTCTTTGAAAAGTAAAAGAAAAATTTTTTCATTGTTTTACAATCCCTCTCCACAAGTCCATTCCACTATGCAGCCTTTGTTCTGGACTCCTGTCATGACAAAAATACCTAATCACATATCCTTTTTTTCTCCCTCATCTGTTTCAATGCAGTATTCATTATTTAACCCATCTTTCTCAGTCTCCCCTCAATCCCGATGTCAGTCGCATTTTACAACAGTGACACTATACAGTATTTGTCCTTTTGTGACTGAGATATTTCACTCAGCATAATGTCCTCCAAGGTCACCTATTATATATTTCATGAGTTCCTTGTTTTTCAATACAACGTAGTATTCCATTGTGTGAATATATCACAGCTTCTCTATCCATTCTTTTGTTTCCAATTCCTTGCTATTGTGAACAAAGCCATGATGAATATGGGTGTGCATATATATGCTTGGGTGGCAGTTGCGGTTTCTTTGGGGTATATTCCCAGGAGTGGAATTGCTGGGTCAAACGGTTAAAACCATTATTGTAGAATGAATATTAGAATCCAAGGAAGGGAAGGGTGGAAGCAGAGGGCTGAGGGGTACGGGGGGTAATCATAGAGTTGCACAATTTGATGGGGGTATGTAAAGGAAATGGGAAAGATTCCGTGTGAAAAACATGTGTTCTAACTTTGTAAATAAACCAGTATAAAATTAATAATAACAATAAATTACAAATTACATTATGTAAATCTGCTGTCAGGGACCTCTCCAGAGTACTGAGAAGCAACCATGTCAGTCTAGAGACTAAGGTGCGCCTGATCCAGTTCATGGTCTTCACAATTTCTTTCTATCCAACAGAGAGCTGGACAATGACTAAGGACGACAGAAGAAGAAGAATCGATGCCTTTGAGTTGTAGGACTGGAGAAGAGTCATGGACTGCCAAGAAAACAAATAGGTCTGTCTTGGAGAGGGTGAAACCAAGTTTTTCCTTGGAGGTTAGGATTTTGAAGCTCTGTTTCATAAACTTTGGGCACTGTTCCTTGGACAAGGACATCATGCTTGGAAGGGTGGAGGGACAGCACAGGAGAGGAAGACCCTGGATGAGATGGATTGATACAGTAACTAGGGCAGTGGGGGTAAGTGTGTCAGAATCAGTGAGACTGGCTCAGAACAGGGCAGGCCTCCGAGCTGTTGTACATTGTAGGGGTCGCTATAGGTTGCAGGCAATTCAGCGGCACATAACAACAACAACAACCACAACCATCAAGTTGCTTCTGGCTCCTTGACCCTTTATTAAATTTCCAAAGCCTCAATTCTGTCTTAGACTTGGTTTTCATTCAGTCACTCATACACATTTGTTTCATAACATTCATAAATTTGAGAGGCCAAAGCTAAGGGACAGATTGCGGAAGTGAGGGAGAAAAAACAGAAGATTGCAAAAGGCAACTGAGGAAGACAAAGCAAAGTATGATAACAATGTGACTGCTGCAGTCTGTCAGGTAGAGTTCACGTGTACAGCTACCATCTGTTTCTTACAAAAGGTGTTTACTATGACTCAGTCCTCGAATGTACAAAATTCAATCTCCAGCTTCTTAGGACCCTATGAGCGGTAGATCTGAACCCTCTCCTGTCCTGTGCCGTCCTCACCATCTCTGACATACTTGAGCCCGTGGCTGCGGGAACTGTGTCTGCCATGTCACTGAGGGGCTTCCTCTCCTTTGTAGACCCTCCACCTTTCCAAGCGTGATTTCTCTTTCTAAGGAATAACTTCTGACAACGTGTCCAAAGTATGTGAGATGAAGCTTTGTCATCGGTGTCTCCAGGCAGCACTATTACTGTACTTTCTCTCCAAGATGTATCTGTTTGTTCTTTTGGCAAAAATTGGTGGCATTTTCTATCTTTGCCTCTACTATTAGTTCATATATTTGGATATATTTCTTTTATTCAATTGTCTAAACAGGTTTTCTTTGAATGTATATGGATTAATATCCTATCACTCACAGCATTGTACTTCAGATAAATCTTTTTTTTTTAATTTATTTATTGTGCATGTACCGTCAAATCAGATCTGACTGGTACAGGAGGGAAACTTTCCCTCCTTCTCCAGCAGAGCATCTGGTGGATTTGAACCATGTTCCTCTGGGATTGCAGTATAGCTTCTTGCCACTAGGCCACCAGAGCTCCCTCTTCAGATAGATCTTGAAATGGTCTTTTTTTACTTTGAATACAACACCATGCTTCTCATCAGAGTGCGAAAACTATAGAAGAATATCGTTGATTTCACATGCAAGCAAGATTCTACTGAAGATTATCCAAAAACGACTGGAACAGTACATCAGCAGAGAACTGCCAGAAGTCCAGGCTGGGTTTAG